TTTCTGGATTGAGTTATTTTAAGCATACTTACATTAGAGGCTGTTTGTTCTACTGTTTGTAATTCTTGGGGTGTGAATTCTGCTGGCTCCTTTCCCTGGAAGTTTATATTTTTACCTCTTATGTTTTGTTTTGTTTTGTTTTCAACCACCTCATCTTGCAATTTCTTGCGTATTCTTCCCATGGTGTCTTATGCATGCAGGATTATTAAATGTCACAATGGGGCAGTTTCATATTTGTCTCTACCAGGGTTCTTAAACTTTCCATGGTTTAAAACAGTTTTCCTGTTGCTTTCTTGGTTTGGGTTTCCCACCCTATGCTCAGTTTGGCAGGAATGTCATCTGAGTGATAATCAGTCAGCTTCTTCCTCTAATTCCCAAGGGTAATGGGAGGAGATAGTTCAGAATTCTTTTCATAGCTGCAAAGCTCTTCCAGGATCCTGGCTCTTTGCCCAGCTTCACTGCATATGGGGCCTTCACTCCCATTCCTGCTCAGGCATTAAAATCCCAGCCCCTAAGTTCATCTTTGGATTCTAATTCTTCAACTGCTTATTTAGTCTCACCTCTTATTCATTGCTTTTTCATGTTCTTTCCCCTTCTGGCACCTTAGGACTTTAATTTCTTGTTTTAATGCTCAGTTATAAATTTCAAGTATTTTTATTATATTTTATCCAACATTTATCTGTGTTAGGAATGATGAGTGCTTTCCACATCAACTTAGTCCATCATAGTGGTAAAAGACTAGCAAAAAGCATTTTAAAACACCCAAATCAGTAAAGTCACAGTCTCTCAATAAAGGTGTCGACTTTATTTGCTTTCACACTTCTTACACTATCCTTTTTTAAATTTGGAATGGGCCAGCATTGCCTTGTGGGTTGACATGGGAGAATTCATGGACTGGGCATTGATAAATTTAAATTTTAGTCCTAACTTTGTTGCTTGCTAACTTCAGACTTAGAGAAATCAGGAACATTTTCTGAGCCTATTAATAGCTGTAAAATTGAAATATTATTTGCTCTGCTTCATAGGATTATTATAAGGGTCACATAAGATAATAGATTGAAATTTCTTTAACAATTAACACACATTATGCAAATTTACACTATTACCGCTTGTAGTGTTAGGGTTTAAAAGCCATTACCACATTCATTAGAATTGAATGAATATGAAATTTCATATTCATTTTTGCAATCTGAAATTATATGGAGAAGGATCATAGTTTTCATTTTATATGGGGGTTTTGGATTTTTGTAATTTGAAAGAAAATCCTGTATCCCAGTAAAGGCTATCATTCTATGAAACACTTAATGAGGGAACTACTTGGAAACAGTCAAATATTCTCATGAAATTTAAGAGCACTATTTGTACTGACAGACAGTTATGACTTTCCTAGACCATGGAATTCCTTTTGGAGAGACACACCCTTAGCAGTTAACAGAGACTTGATCCTGGAAATCATCCTTACATTTCATTATGCATTCTCTCAAACAATGGACTCTGAAAGGTCAATTAATATTTTCTGAGGAGCCATAAATTGTTTTTTAATACAGAAAAGATGACTTCATATTTGAAAAGATTGAGAACCATCCTAGCCTATGGTAGGAGCCCACTAACTGGGCTATTTGACCCCAGATCCTCTGCCTCTCACTAAAATATATTTTCTCTAGAGCAGGACTGTGTCAATCAATCCTCAGTGATGTTTGTCAGTCACCTATGAGGTCTGTTGCACAGAATTTGTTATTTACTAATAGTTAAAGAACTAAGTTTGCAAATGATATAAAAAGGAAATTAGATATTAACTCAAGATGGCAGACTGATCATACACATCTGCTGCTTGCTCTCTAAAGTCCATAAAAATGCATGTGGATAAATACAGATAATAAGATCCATTTTAGGCTTAGTGCCCATAGTTCAGTTGTTAGGGCACAGGTTAGAGCACCGGCCACGTACACTGGGGGTGAAGGGTTTGAACCCAGCCAGGGTCTACTAAACAACAATGGCAGCTACAATAAAAAAAGGCATTGTGGCAGGCAACTGTAGTCCCAGCTACTTGGAAGGTTGAGGCAAGAGAATCACTTAAGCCCAAGAGTTTGAGGTTACTGGTTACTGTGAGCTATGATACCAGCACTCTACGAAGGGCAACAAGTGAGACCTTGTCTCAAAAAAAAAAAAAAAAAAGATCTATTTTAATAGAACTGGAAGATAGGAAAATTTATGACCAGAAGTTTATAGATTCTCATTTACTAATTAAATTACTCTACATTTTCCAAGTTAAAAATGTTACTTCTCTCATTCAGTATAATTTCATGATGTTACATTGTGTTGATAATACGTTATATATGCATCTATTTTAGTGCCTTAAACTATTTTGAAACAATTTTTTGCTAATGGTTAAAGAGCTGTTCTCTTAAAGATGAAATACTGTTCATTAAAAGGATCTGTGAAATAATTTACACTTGTTATAAAATAGTTTCATGCAGACACATTTGTTATTTTTGTCAAAGTCATTCAGTTTGAGAATTAACAAACATTAGGTGCCTTTACTTTTAACAGCGTTACTTGTGTTTAATACTTAGAAATGTAAAAATGTGATACTTTAAATACTAACTCTGTGGTTGTGTTTATTTTTAAATCATCTTGTGTGTCATGAATTGAACTAGCATGGAAATTCTTTAATAGGGTTTATGCCTTTGTTCTTTGTCTTCGTAAGTACAAACCACTTAATTAAAAAATTGCTAATCACAAAAAAAACCAAAACAAAACATTTTTAATAATATTTTTTGCACCCAAGGAAAAAACATGTTTAATAAATTCTAAAAGATATTATTTGAGAACGAATGTTTAGATGAAGAAAACTAAAGGAAACAAAAGCTCAACTTATGTGTAGAGAGACCTGGAGCTACCTCCAGGTCCTTTAAGCTTTAATACCTGGTCTGGCATAACAATAAACATGGCTGAAAAGCAAATTAGCTAGAAGAAAGTGTCAAGGGGACTGTTGCCCTTACTTAGTGGTGAAATACCGTAAGAAGGACAATGAGAGAAAAGTTGAGAGACATAGTAGATCCAAATGTCCCAATGTTCAGCTAGAAACTGTTCCAAAGGAGAGAAGAGAGAGAACGGAGGGGAATGACAAGAATCTTGAAAATGAAAGTGTTTTCATTTTATTATCACCAGTTTTAAAGTTTTAATCACTCTTTGTACTGTAGACTTGCTCAGTTTGGTTTTCTCCTTCACATCATTTATAATTTTTGTTTGTAACCTGTCTTTAGCAGGGATTGTTTTTTTAATGGATCATGACGATATCTCTCCAGTGGGATTTTTCATTTGCTTTTGTCGGGCACTGCAGAGCTATCACTAGCAGGATTGATTTTTCTGTTAATTTTGTGTCCTACAGGAAGCCCTGCATATAAATCCACATTCCAAACCTGAGTGTGGCACAAACTTGGGGTTTTACTTTCTCACAAAGAGTTTGTTCACTATAGCTCCAGGAAGAGGCAAATTTGTTTTGCCTCTGGGCATATGCATGGAGTGAAGTCGGCCTTGTTCTGACAGGCCAGCCATTTGAGAGTTCTAGCTTTATGCAAGTTTCAACTCTATCTTTCCACTTTGGAGGCCATACGGGTTCATCTCTATTCCAGTAGGGATTAATATTCAAGTCCCTAGCCTTCAACCTCTTTCCAAATCTGCTAACCACCTCTCTCTTCCCACCCTCACCAAACCTTGCATTGTTATTGCTCTAGTTATATAGTAGTATATCTATGCTGTGGAGGATGTGAAGCTATTCAAATAACGAGAGAGTCTATGTGTTGACAAGGAAAGATCTTCAAGATATATACTGACTTACAAGTAAGCAAGTTCCCTATTTTGGAGTATAAGGGTTTCTGTTTTGTGAACTTGGCTACATATTTGTTTGGTGTCCCATTTTATTTAGCATTTTGAGGTGTTCGTAATGCAAAGGTTCACTGTGAGCCTTAATCTGCCATGTTGTTACAACTAAAAGTTCCCAATATACATTACATATAAAAACGAAATTTGTTCTTTTGCAGTCTATTTAAATTTTTAGCTGTAGCCTTATCAATGGTGTAGATAATAGTGAGCAACTGATATAGTCCCAGGGCAATTTGTAATTTATAGTAGAGGAAAACTCTGCCCATTTCTACTCATAGCACAGCAAATATACAAAATTAGAATAGCTGGTGGAATTAATATTTACCAAACTTACCCAAAAAGCGAAGGTTGAGTTAATGCTAGAAATGATCTGAGTAAAATAGAAAATAATTTTGATAATATTTTAATATTTACAGTATGCATATGCCTTTGAATTTAGTGTGTGTGTGCATGTTGTACTAGCAAAAATGTTTTTAGATTTTTCACATTTTTGATTATTTATGGAGGAGTTCTAAGTTTTAGAATAAGGAGGAAATTTTAAATATATAAGTGAATATTATCCTTAAATTAGAATTTGAGTATATGAATAGTGATGATGTGATCACACTGATCACTTATTGATCAATATGTATAATCTCATGGTCAATAAACTTCTGAAGTTGCTATTTTCCTAATTTTACAGATGAGAAAAATGAAGTCTAGAGAGATTAAATAATTTCAGTGATGTCACATGGCCTGTATGAAGTGAAGCCAACATTCCAACTCCAGTTTCTTTGATTCCAAAGCTGTAACTTATGCCTGTCTAATAGGGCCTCTCTTCTAAAACTTTTACTGTATTTATTAATTAGGTTCATTTCTGTGCCAAATGAAGTTGTGTTTTACTATAAGTATGTGACATAGAAATAATTGTCTCAATCCATCACTCATTGGAGACCACTCTTAAAATTTGGGTACATTTTAATTATCTTTTCCCCTTTTTCCCAGTTCATGTAAATTCTATGTTCTGAGATTATTGGTAACTAAAGGAGCAAACGTGAAGGCTTGGGTGATGATTATGAAATTTCCTTACATTCCAGGGATTATATTTTTATCTAAAGAAGGTAATTTATCCTGACTTATCTTGATTTTTTTATTGGTAGATTTAAAGGCGCATGGCTAGTAAGAACAGCATCTCCCCTGGTTGGTGGAGAGATATCTGCTCTCTGCTTCTCCCTGCTCTCGGGACTTTGGGGGCACGCTTTGGCTGCCTGTCTGACGTCTGTTTCTGATAAGTGAGTTTTAGTCTGTAACAGCTCTTGGGAATTTTGTCGGCAGTGACCTGGTGAGATCATTTTGCTTTCCGCTGAATTTCCTTTCTCTGTTTTTTTGGACTGTTCTGATGAACATGACCCTGGAGCATTCAATAATACCTCTGTTCCCTTAGGAACTGTTGGCCTACTCCCTGGTTTTATCTCTCTCTGCACAAAAGCTCCATGTTTCTGGAAAGGAAAACAAAGTTGACATTAACCAGGGGAACACAAATTGCTGGAAGATGCAGCTGCGAACTGAGTTCATGGATTAGCTCAAGTCCTAGGGGTTCAGGAATTTATTTCTCTGTCTCTTCACTGGCTGTCACCTTAGCCCAAAGCCAAAGCACCACCGTAGTAATTCTTGGTAAACATTTTAAATTGTAAAATAGGGTGCACCAGAAAAATAGGAAGAAAAAAAAAGCCGAAAGTCAAAGAAGCACATCTCATTATTTCCTATTCTTAACTTTTTTGTCATTTGGTTGTATAAGACTCGTCTTATAAAAGTTATTTCTTGCTTCATGGGTTTTGATGAGTACAACAGAAACTAAGGATCGGAGGATTTATGATTGTATCCCAAATGAAAGCAAATCTCCAATAATTAACTATTATATTTCTATTTGGCTTCATAAACTTTATATGCATCTCCCTGACACACGCACACATTAAGCACATCAAAAAGTTTATCAAAGTACTTTGAAATGATGATGATGATGATTTTTATACAGATGGGGTCTTGCTATGTTGCCTGGGCTGGACTTAAACTCCTAGGATCAAGTCATTCTCTCACCTCAACCTCTCCAGTAGCGGAGACAACAGGTATGTGCCACCATGCCTGGCTATGCTTTGATATTATGTTATGCAAAGGATTTCAGTAATTTAAGTAAACCAGATTCCAAAGACTGTGATTCAAATTATTGAATATGGCATCATTCCTTAGTTTTACTATGCCATGTGGCTGGGATGCTATCCTTACTAATAACTGTTAGTCTGTTTAAATAGATTTACAAAGATAATTATGACTTGACAAGGCTTAAGGTTCTATCGTAAGTCCTAAAGTATTCAATAATTACTTCTAAACATTGTCTCACCTTTCCCTGGATGGGCTCATTAGGAGTTTTCCTGGAGTCATATTGATGCATAAAAGAGATGCATTCTATAAAATTCTTTTGAAGTTCTGATGCATCAGGAGAGGCAAGTGGAACTAAGAAAAGGAAAAAGATTTTATGAAGTCAGGACAAAAATGAGATTCGTGTAAGGAAATATAATCAATATTCACAATATTCCTGCTTTGTAAAAAATGCTAACACATTTTACATTTACAGTGGCTCATGCCTGTAATTCCAGCACTTTGGGAGGCTGAGGAAGGAGGACCACTTGAGCCCAGGAGTAGAAGACCAGCCTGAGCAACACAGTGAGAGGCTGTCTTTACAAAAATATTAAAAAAATTAGTCAGGTGCAGCAGTGCATGCCTATAGTCCTAGCTATGGGAGACACTGAGGCAGAAGAATCACCTGAGCCAGAGAGATCAAGGTTGCGGTGAGGTACATTAGTGCCAGTGCATTTCAGCCTGGGTAACAGAGCAACACCCCGTCTCCAAAAGAACCCAGCTATCATGGACTTACCATTCTTTCCCTGTGTAAATAACTAAGTCAAAAAGACCAAATTAGTCCTACATGTGGAATTTTTAAAAAATAATATTAAATTAGTATTAATATTAATACAATAATACTAAAAGTCTGTTCATCTTAAAAATCTATTAGGTATACTTTTTACACAGATACCAATAAGTTTTAGGGAAAGCATAAAAACAATGTATTTGCTAACTTATTATTTACTACTAGAAAGAATATAAAAAATTCTGTGCTGAATCTGAAGTTGTGGCCAAGTTTGGTTAAGGCAATGGACAAGATAGTCTGTGCTAAAGTTACTCTCAACCAGCATTAACAATGAATTGGAAGATGGTAGGGACGTTGTAGTTTTAGTTGAACACACAATTCTTTTTATTACATCCAGTAATAGAGCCTGTGAAAATTTGCAAGCGTATTTATTCTTTAAAAATCACTTTTAAATAACCTTTTGGTCTAGGTGATGGGTGTGTACAGATATATGTCTCTAGGATGTGGGGGTCAAATTATGGAGAGTCTTCAAAGTTAGTAAGGAGTTTATTATATTGGTCTCTCTATGCCATGTATGTTTAACATTTTAAATAATTTTTAAAATTCACTCAGTTTTAATTTCAGCAAAGTTATTTAAAGAATTAGAGCAACTTCCAGTACTCCTTCTGATGATTAAAAAAAACAGTTTAGTGAGGTAAATTATATTAAGGCAAAAGGTTTTTCTTTCTTAAAAAAGTATGCACATAATGAGTCGATACATACCTAGCATGTTTATGGAATGATACACAAGAAACTGGTTAACAGTGCTTACTATAGGGAAAGAGAATTAAAGGACGGGAGGACAGATGCGGAGAGAACTGGAATCATTTTTTTTTTAATTAATTTTTCTTACTTATACATGTGTATATTAGGTTCCCACTTTTGCCTTTACAGAATTAAAAAGGTTAAATTTAATGCCAATAACAATATTTAACATACGGACTGAGAACAAAAACCTCATAAAGAACGAATGAAGATAAATACATTCAGAAAAGAAATCAGACGACTGCTGCAACAAAATATTAAGCAATAATAATAGTAATAATGCAAACAAAGTAACATGTACATTGTCAGATAGGAGTAGGTCTATTATAGAATACTTTGATCAGTTAACTTCTTCTTTTGTGTTTTCCAAAGTCTCAAGAAAATAGACAACTATTATTTATAAATGAAAGTAACAGATAATTTCAAAAAAACAGATCATGCCAAATCTTATAGACAATAGAAAAAGAAATACTTCAAAATCATTCTACTTAATCTGGATATTAAAATTGGAGAAAATATATTATTATAAAGGGGAAATTACAAACATTTCACTTATAAATGAGGATGCAATATGATAAAGAACATATTAACATGTGGTGGGCAAGGGAAAAAATAAGAAAGAAATTAGTGACTAATTCTTATATAAATTGTATTTAATTTGGATCAAAGTACATTACTTAAACATTAATTTTTAATTCAACATGGATTCATTTTTCATTGCATATTCTTTTGTACCATGTGAATTTTGTGCCATGTGAATATATTCACTATTAAAAGTAAAATTTTAATTTTTAAAAATTACACCTTAAAAATTAGGAAGAATAGACTCAGAAAATCTAGCCAGGCTTCCACAACACCACATACCAAGCACTCCCGTCTTCTCGTGAGGTTGCGTCGCCTTCTGCGAGCTCCAGCCTTGGCCTCAGCTCCCGACTCGAGGAGTGGCGCGGCGGTCCCCCCATTCTGGGTCCCGAACGTGGCTCGAATGGCAAGCCAGAATTCCTTCCAGATAGAATATGATACCTTTGGTGAACTCAAGGTCCCAAATGCTAAGTATCATGACCCCCAGACTGTGAGATCTACCATGAACCTTAAGATTGGAGGATGACGGAACGCATGCTAGTCCCATTTATTAGAGCTTTTGACATCTTGAAACGAGCAGCTGCTGAAGTAAACCAGGACTATGGTCTTGATCCAAAGATTGCTAATGCAATAACGAAGGTGGCGGACGAGGTGGCTGAAGGTAAATTAAATGATCATTTTCCTCTCGTGGTGTGGCAGACTGGATCCGGAACCCAGACGAATATGAATGTGAATGAAGTCATTAACAATAGAGCAATTGAAATGTTAGGAGGTGTACTTGGTAGCAAGAGCCCTGTGCATCCCGATGATCATGTTAATAAAAGCCAGGGCTCCAATGATACTTTCCCCACAGCAGTGCATATTGCTGCTGCAGTCAAGGTTCATGAAGTGCTGTTACCAGGACTGCAGAAACTCCGTGATGCCCTCCGTGCAAATCCAAAGAATTTGCGCAGATCATGAAAATTGGGCGTACTCACACTCCGGATGCTGTTCCACTTACTCTGGGGCAGGAACTTACTGGTTATGTTCAACAAGTGGCACATGCAATGGCAAGAATAGAAGCTGCCATGCCAAGAATCTATGAGCTTGCAGCTAGAGGCACCACTGTCGGTACCGGTTTAAATACTAGAAGTGACTTCGCAGAAAAAGTTGTTGCAAAAGTGGCTTCGCTCACAGGCTTGCCATGTGTCACTGCTCCAAATAAATTTGGAGCTCTGGCTGACTCAGTGGAGCCATGAACACTACTGCTTGCAGTCTGCTGAAGATAGCAAATGATACTCGTTTTATGGGTTCTGGTCCTTGGTCAGGTCTAGGTGAACTGATCTTGCCTGAAAATGAACTGGGAAGCAGTATCATGCCAGGCAAAGTGAACTCTATCAGTGTGAAGCAATGACCATGATTGCAGCCCAAGTCATGGGGAATCATGTCGTTGTAACCGTTGGAGGCAGCAATGGACATTTTGAGTTGAGTGTTTTGAAGCCGATGATGATTAAAAATGTGTTACACTCAGCCAGGCTGCTGGGGGATGCTTCAGTTTCTTTCAGGCCAACACAGAAAGGATCAACAAGCTAATGAATGCGTCTCTAATGTTGGTGACAGCTCTCAATCCTCACTTAGGGTATGACAAGGCAGCAAAGATTGCTAAGACAGCCCACAAAAATGGATCAACCTTAAAAGAAACTGCTATTGACCTTGGGTATCTCACAGTAGAGCAGTTTGATCAGTGGGTAAAACCTTAGGACATGTTGGGTTCAAAGTGATTTAAATAAATTTATATTGAAAATAAACATATAAAATAAAAAAAATTAGGAAGAACAGGCTTGGAGACAGTTGCTCAGTGGTTAGGACACCAGCCACATACACTGAGATAGGCAGGTTTGAACCTGGCCCGGGCCTGCTAAACAACAAGGACAACTGTAACAACAACAACAAAAAAAAATAGCTGGGCACTGTGGCGGGTGCCTGTAGTCCCAGCTACTTGGGAGGCTGAGGCCAGAGAATTGCTTAAGCCCAAGAGTTAGAGGTTGCTGTGAGCTGTGACACTATGGTACCCTACCGAGGACCAACATAGTGAGACTCTGTCTCAAAAACAAAAAAGAAATTAGGAAGAATACATAAGAAAAATGTTTCTAAATTTATATTTGTTAAACATTCATGAATTAATTCAGTATTCAGACATTGATATAAACTCATTTTATTAGCAAGAATGATAAATATTCAAATATTTATATCTTACATGATATAAAACTGCAATCTTTTCCTGATTAGGTGGGAAAAATGTTAACAGATAATATTTTCTTTTTTCCTAATTGAGATCAGCTACTCAAAACTCAAAACTTATTTCTACTTAATCATTACCTTTCATTTAGGAATACCTAGCACACAAGTGCAAAGAAGAGAAGTGAACAGAAGTGCAAAGATTAAATAACTAACACTGAAAAATCTATTGATAACTTATTTTTTTCCACCAAGTGGGAAAAGACTACTATTTTTTTGATTAGTACTGTGATCTAGCTCACAGATCATTAGCATGTTCAGAAACACAGTTTGACAACTTCTTGGATAACCATGAAGCAGCTCTAAGTTTAGGCATTAATCAGGTGGGGTTAATAAAGGTATCCAAAGCATGAGTTGGGGGATAAAATAGGCATGTTTTCAAACTCTAGCTCTACCATATTGCTTAGCTGTGTGACTTTGAAAAAAAAAATCACTTCACTTCATTGAGATTCAAATTCCTCCTCTTTAAAATGGGAATAAAAATAATTTACTTTCAGAGTTGTGAGGATGGAAGACAATGTTCATAAAGTCTCTAGGATATGGGGGTCAAATTATGGAGCGTCTTCAAAGTTAGCAAGGGACCAGCTCTTTTGTATCCTGATAAAGGGGAAACTATGGAAGGGAGAAGACAACATGAATCTGATGAACTTTAAAAACACTGAGTAAACTGGTGTGAAGGGTTGATGGCAGCTTGAGCTGGAGGGCAGGAAGGTCAGATGCTGCCAAGAAAGAACAGGTTGGAGGAGAGCTTTTAAAATCAGCTCTAGACGTATGTCCTCCTGTCCCACCACATTATTGCATTGGGAAGATCAGCGTTTGCCCCAGGGCCACATGATAATATCAGAACAGCATGGACGTCCCTTCAGGACAAGCCGCTGATGATAATGGGTGCAGGCTGCCCCCTTGGGCATGTCTTCCTCCA